ATAGCTGTATGAATGAAAAAGATGAATTGCTGTCATTTTGGTCTTCAGTTAAAGAGTCGTTTAGCACTGAAATATCAACAAATGCGCTAGTACTTTCAGAAAAATATGCTCTAGTTATGTTGATCTAATATTTTGTTAGAAAAAGTTTAGCTCATGTGGTAAAGACACCAACATGTTCACCCGACATTTAGTTAAAATCTGGTTAAATCAACCAAATTATTTTTCTGTTTGTAGCTAGTTTCCTGTTCACTCTTATCTAATTTTATCTATAAAAAATTATTGTGCATATGACGTTTTTTAACTTGATAAATTTTTCTTTAAAATACTCCAGCTTTTAAATTCATCTCAAATGTATATTACATAATTGGGGAAAGGGAGAGCTTATACAGTAATGACACTTCATTTTTTTATTAATATTCCAAAAACTACTTCAGTTATTAAGAGAATATATTTGAGGTTCTCAATTAGAAATATACTCGTACCAACCCAAAAACAGTAACGAAAACTGTGTAATCTGAATACAATCTCTGTCTTCGTCTTCTCCAACGCTTTGTAACTTGCCTTTGATTGTTTAGATTATTTTTTGGTCTCCAGAGTGTAGTAGTCGATCTGAATTTTGGTAAATAACAATATAACTGACCAATGATCATTTCATTTTCATTCTTGAGTAATTCTCATAATTGAAATCAGTATTTGTGTATGCATGCACACAATCAAATATAGTTAATGTACATGAAATTTTAACCCCCGAAATTCATCTAGTGTGGTATCCAGTCAATCCAGTGTATCCAGGATCGGATTAAATTTTTTTTGCTTACCTATTTATGAGTTTTTTGTTATGGTTAAATAATTTTCTAATTAATTTTGAAAAAATCGCTGACTGGCGTCGACTTACTCTTATTACAATCCATCCCATTTTGATAGTGTATAATAAATAAATATCTAAACAATTCAGTAAATATAAGAATATCTAGAATTAGTTAAAGTAGTACGTACTTTCAGTCAAGATATACGATTGGTCATATTTATTACAATATTTACTTATATCGTGCAAAATATTATCCCCAATTTGTCAGCAGTTAACCTGTAATAAAACACATTTAATTTTGACCCATTTTTTGTAATATTGACAATTTAATAGGTTTCTCAGGTGCTCAAGTTTTACAACCAACACTTGGCTTTCCTTTACCTTCAACTATTCTTCTGATACAATCTCCAATAATTTTATTGTGACATGGTTAAGTAGTAAAGTGTGAATACGTGTAATCGAGATGGCGCGGAGCGACGTGCGTGCTACTTATGCGGCCATTCTCCATTAACTAATTGGAGTTACGTGATTAGGCAAACAATCCTAAGTTTTACTACGAAAAAATAAGGAAAAAAATCCAAAAAATAATATAAAATAAAATGGAAAAATACTGAATATGGAGTAGCTCTTTGCATCAATTACACTTAAGTGCCGGAAAATATTATTGCTCGTACAAAACTGGGGCAAGACCACTTTTACTTGTCATTAATCAATTTTTGAATCAAAACGTTTAACGGAATACGCACCGCAAACTAACGAATTCGCTACACCGTAGAGTGGAAGAGCATGGATAGAAGTTCGGCAAGGTCGTTTGCTACTGGTGGGCCGAGTTATTGCCACTGTCACACTAAACGAAAAATCCATTAATAATGCTTTCTTGGCTTTCGTGTGATGATACATCCGTACACTTCAAGCAATTCACTTGGTATGGAATTGCCTTCAAATTGTTGTTTGCGGTTTTGCAGTTTAAGTAGTTTTCGCTTATGTTTTGTATTTGTTTCTGTTTTTCTTGTTGCTTTTGGGTTTTGTCAACGATTTATACGATTTATAGATTCGGAATATTAAACTCTTAGATGAGACAGAAATCGATTTAGAAATATCGAAATTTTAGTGCTGTTATCAGATGTAAGAGGGCGAAGCTTATTAGTATGTCGTGCAGCGGAAAGCAGAACTGCTTTGGCTCTTCTAAGGATTTTTGTTGTTCAATTTAAGTTTCAGGCCATTAACATAAATGATGAATGACGTTTTTATATTATTTATCGATATCGCATTATTAATCAAAGTAAAAGTAGCAAACAAACTACGAAATGCTAAAATGCATGCACATTTGTAATTTATATAAATTATTTGAGAAAAAGAAACTTTAGTGGAACATGCTGTGATTTAGTAAAAGTCAATGAACAATTTTCTTTAAAAGCAAAACTTTAGCTCCTTTAGTTTAAAGCTTAAAAGAAGCAAACCTGAAGGAAAAATCATAGTTTTTCTTCTTGCTTTTATTGAATTTTTAATGAACAAATTTTTCCGAAAAAAATAAACAATCTTTAATATTCTTGTTTACTCAAATGTGAAATATCTTGGTGGAATGAAAATATAGCAAAAAAAAAATTCGTCTTACTCTTAATTCTATTAAGTAAATCAGTTATTGTTACTTTCTTACTTACATAAGTAATTAGTGAAATATTACTTAAGTCATATTGAAAAAAGATATAGAAAGTATTCTTATAATTTTTTTTCCACCCTTCACATTTATCTGTCATATGTCTCTGAATGATATAGTAACTATAACAATATGATAACATAATTTATATAATAATATTTTACGTATATCACATTACTCAATATGTCTCGTTTGCTGCTTCTATATACCAACACTATTGGTAAATCCACATGATTTGGAAGGATTCTACCTTCATGTAACATGTATTGTATTAATTTCATGACATTTCTATAATACAGAAGCTTTGACATTTTTACGACAGGCGGCTAAAATGCCATTGCTGTAAGCTTTATATATATAATGTAATTGTTATAAATTTCTATGTAATTCAACATATTTAAAATAGAGTAAAATAAAGCAAATACTACTACTACTACAGTAGCTATGGTTTCCCTTCCATCGCACTCTCCAGATCTAGTCTTCAGCAATTACTATTTTTTTGCAGACTTCTACAAAATAATACAGGGAAATAAAATTGACCTAATTAAAAAACTGATTTACGAAACTTAGGACTATTTTTGAAGTAAAGATAAATCGTTCTATAATAAAGGATCAATAAGTTAAAGATTGTTTGAATGAAATCATACCTTCAAAACAGCTGAATTTTTTTTGTTGAGCAATTTAGTACAAAATAGGAATATTGAACAATACGCCACAATCCCATTTCATTAACAAACAATACAACTCTCTCATTTAGATGCCCCGAAATAATATCAGTCAACTATTGATCAATTAGGAATCAATCAATTAAGAATTAAATCTTGACTAAATCATTTCCGTCGCAGTTGTGGAAAGGACAATGAAAGTGCCTTACATCTTCTTTTTTAATTGATCGGTTTCCTTTTTTGAGGATCCTGATCAGCTCCAGGACCTCCCTCTGAACAGCATCTTAGGGTTTGCTAAAGGTTCATGGTGATTTTTAAACCTTTGTGTTCTTATATAGTAACATAATAGGCCTTAGTAAATTCTCAGGGTTGCCGATGTAACCTAGCTTCATCTATCAGCAACAAAAAAATTAGCACTCACTTGGATATTTAGCCATGAGATATTCGACCGTAAAAGCTGCTAAAACTGCGAAGAAGAGAAACTAAATTCTTTGCAGAATATTTATTTATCACATAGAATCAGGACTAAAGATTACTCATATAGCTTATTCAGAACAACAACAAAAACAGATTTCTCAGAAATGTCATGAGTCATATTAATCACTGGTTTCATAACTGCACATATTTATAAAAATTACTACTTTCGAAAGATGGGTATAAAGAACACCGGGATCAACATATTCTATGAAAGGCAGAGCGAAACTTTGATTCTCTCTCGTGCTCTGCAATTAGTAAGTAAAGAGTCCAGTTTGTTCGTAAGGTTTTCATTAAACCGAAAGAGTACTAGGATCTTGAAACATGACATACTGTTGGGTTTGTGGAAATACTGATATTGTCTGGGTTAGCTAAAGAACTATTTTACAATATAGCATTGCATAGTAGATCTCTGTAGCAACCTGTCAGTTCTATTAGCAACAACATTAAACATTAAAACATGGCATACTGTTGGGTTTGTCGAAATACTGATATTGCCTGGGTTAGCTAAAGAACTATTTTACAATATAGCATAGTATAGCAGATCTCTGTAGCAACCCTTCAATTCTATTAACAACAGCAATCATATATAATAAAACATCAGTCAGGAACCTACTTTAAAGATTGGCTATAGAAATACGCATCTATGTATAGAAACTTTGCAAAATGTCTAAGTCTAATATTTGTATAAATACAATAAACTCTAGCAATTTTTTAAATACTTCAAAACTAGCCATATAGAACTGAATGTACATACTAATAGACATAAATGTTGAAAGAACGCGATATGATTGTAGAAAAGGGATGAGTATTTTTGGAAAAATGGAAAAAGCTCATTAGTTTTTTAGAACTTCTTGAGTGTTGACATGTTAAAAATGAAATTAACATTTTGACGAAGGTTTTTCTAGTCAATTATGGGCATTTTAGAAAAGTAACAATAAGTCGAAGGCCTCATTTAAATGTATGTACGAAATTATATAAATAATAACAGCAACGGGTAGAATAGCTGTACACTATTTGATGAACTTACTTTTGAGTCGATTAAATAAATTTTTATATATTGCTATATTTTTTTTGTTGCTTAATAATTCTGGCTACTTGGTGCACTATATATAAATTATTGTTCAAGTCCACCAAACAAAAATCTTTTATATAATTCATTTAAAGTGAGATGCTGCTTTCTACTTTCGAATATAAAGAAGCAAATATCAATTTTCGCTGTCACACAACACAATTTAATTTAATTTTAAAAAGCGTTGATTTCGTCGCGAAAGTAATTGAATTCACTTTTGAATAAAATATCAGTTCTTTTGTATGCTACAACGAACCAATTTACTTGACTAATTTTGAAACTGAAATCTTGTTTAGTTTTATTCATTTTAAAATACAAACTTACCCATTAGCTTCATAACCTCCTTATGACTAATGAACACATTTAGGTATCCGTTTGCTAAAAGTGGATACCAAGAGACGATTGTGCACCAAAGGCAGATCCAGAATTTTGCCATTATGATACGTAAATCCAATGAAGTGGACTGCTTTTTAGCTGAATTTGTTATTGATGCAAAGTGAGTTGAAGTCTTTGCAGATAAAAAATTTTTTAAAATGTCCTTTTACTTGATACTATCTGCCACTGCTGTGAGTGAGACTATCGAAAGCCAATTTAAAATGGAATTTTCTTTGAAAGTTATCGGCCGTACAGCATATGTGACTCCCACTCCTTGGCACCGAACACTTCGTTTTGCAATTTTATTTTACTTTGCGCTTTTCAGTTTGCTCCTATATGCAGACAATCCAAAATGACAGACTGAGAAGTTAGCCTGTAGGGCGTTCGCACTGCTGCACGTATAACAGACACACTGTCCGCTGTCCACTGTCCACTGTCCACTGGTCTATTTGTTTATATGTTTGCAATAGTATTTAGGTATGTTCAAGTAGATATTGTGTATAAGATTGTTTGATAAAACGCCTGTCTACAACACTTTGCAAAGCACAAGTGACCACATGACAACCATGCAGAATGACGACGAATCCTTTACATGGACAAGGGTGACGACTGTGATTTGAATTTGGTTTTGTATGCCACCTTAGCCAAGTGACAAGTGGTTGCCGCCAACAACACAACTGTATTGTGCTGCTCTGGTGCTGTTGCAGTAGACATGCATGGCAAACTGTCTATTTGGTTGAATGGCTGGCTTTTGCTGGCTATATGGGATTTGTGTATGGAGCGGATTGCTGGACGCAAATGCGCCACGTACAAAATGTGTGATTGTGCTGCTTTATGTGCTACGATTTGGATAGATTTTGTTGGGAGTTGAGAGTTGTTATTGGCAGATTAAACTGGTTTTTCAAAAACGTTAAACATGTGCCGCCATCAATGCTATCCTTTCCTGTATTCGGTTGGCTTCTGTTACTTATTTTGCTAAAAGAAAAAGTTGAAAAAAATACATAATGAAATTACAATTTTTTCGTTCGTTTTATATTAAAGAGAAAAAAGGTTAAAAAATTACAAATATTGTAAAATGTTTTTTATAAAAGTTTATACATATGTGTTCTGCTTTACACGTACATTAAAAAACATTTTTGTACTTCAACCAACCTAAAATGGAAAACTTAAATATCGAGCAAAATAACTGTTGTGGGTGTTGTGGATGTAGTGGATGTATTAATATGTGAGTATGTGCGAAAGGAACTCAATTTCATAAAAAAAAGACAGTAACAAAAACTTCCTCTAAACAATTCAAAATGTTTTAAACTTCTTGAAAAAGTAATTAAAAAGTTGAAAAGATTAACAGTTCTGAAGCAGCAACCGAATGAGCCAGAGTGAGTGAGCACGCAATGTACACCACAAGTTGACATGTTGCCTGGGCTCCTAGGAAACCCGCACACTTCATTCTTCTCTACTGCTGGAGGTAGCTACCACTCGCCTAGTCTTAATGATTTTCTTGACTTCATTGTTCTTGGTTTACTTTGGTTTGACTTGGTTTTGATTCAGAGCCATGCCTTGTTTTCGTGTATTTTGGTAGACTTTTGAGGAATCACAAGATACAAATACATAAATTTTATGCAAAAATACTGAAAAAAGTTTGTAAAGCTAAAAACACAATTTTGCGGAATTGTTGAAAGAAAATGAAATTGCGGAATACTTCAACATTTGAAAGTTACGTGAAATCTAAATAAAATATTTTAAGAAAGTCTTATTTAACAGACGAAAAATACTTTTTCTCCTTTAAGCAAAACCGAAACGAACACGTTATTTTTTAACGTGTAAAGGTGGAAATTTCGCAAACTTTTAGCAAATATCAACAAAAATATTGGTTGCAAGTTGGAAAGTTTACTGCAATCCTATCTGAATACTAATGGAGTACAAAATAAGGAAGGCGTACAGGTGAACACATTCATTTGAATATATGTATCTGTATCTATATTGCATTGAAAATCGCTGCATGTGTGAGATGAGATAACAAAGCGCAATGCATAATGAACCTATTTTATTTTTTCATACTAAAAGAAAACAAAATTGAATCAAATGCTACATATATTCTACTTTAGCACAAATGTTTCTTTTACCATCGATAACGTATGGAATTTTAATAAGATGTTGAATTTTCTGAATAAAATTTGAACATTCGAAAAATCAAAATTTAAAATTTTATAAGTTTATAAACAAAAATTGAATAACAACTACCAAAACTACAACTATTGATGAACATTTCTTATTTTTATAAATATTTTCTAGCATACAACATATGCTGCATTCTGAATACACAGTGCGTATGAGTAATATTTTTCAAACTAAAAAGATGCCCTTCACATGTGAGGGCACTCCATTAAATGTGCATAAAGATAAAGTACAGTACAGTGATTGAGTATACTGATCATTCCATTTGTATTTAATAAAATTTAGTTAAAAACGAAACAAAGATATTTAGAAATATAATACCCATTGGTTATCCAAAAATGCAATAAATTAGTAATTGTTTTAATTATAGAATTAGAATTGTTCTTCAGTTGGGTTTAAAGTTAATTCTTTTCATTGTTATTTGAACTAAAGTATTCATATTTTCATATTCTTTATCAAATCACTGTAAAAAATTCTGAGTTTTAGTTCAATAAAGTATTGAATTGTGGTATTAACTCCTGTTTATCGGAATAGAAACAATTACATTTATTGCATTTTACAATTGTATACCATTTTTCTTTAAAATCTCTGAGAACTGAATTTGTAGTTTATATTAAAATAATGGGATATTATAATACTATTATAAAATATAGTATATAGTATGGGCATATTATAAAACTAAACTCGGTATTGGGTATAATATTCATTACCCAATATTCAATACCGAGAAGTGGGTTCAAGTTTATGCCCATATTATACTACCACAAAAATTATTTATGGTAATATTCTTAAAATATTGGGTGATTTTGGTAAGTATTCTCTCTTTTTTTGCTGTATTTGTTAAGAAAAATATATTATATTGAAAAAAAATTAAATCAAGTATATACTGGCCATTATTATGTATAACCTTTTGTCATTTTTCGAGAGCTTCATATTTTCGGTGAAAAACTTGTCCAACTGGTTTGCAGAGTGACGTCCAGAGGTCTTTTCATATCGATCTTTATAGTAGATAGAGGATACTGTAGTAATTTCCCCTACAGTTGGTTCTGCTAAAACGGGTACTATATATAACAGAAGTTAAGTTAGTACATAAAGACACAAATATAACTTGATTGTAAAATTATTTGGATTGAAAAAGATTAAGTGGGCCTTCTCAATTTATTTCTGTAATGCTATTCTATAAATATCTTATGCTTCCAATTCCATCAAATCACATCATATTTTTATAATTGCGATACTCTCGAATCTTTCATTTTTAACTAAGTGAGGTTAACTCAATTGTTAATATAAATATATTTATTATATCAACAAAACACCAAATTTTTTTTAGTAATTGATTGAAGAAAGCTAAACGAATTGAATTTTCATGTAAATTCAACAAATTATCCACTTGTTTGAAATCTGTATAAATTATTTTTTATCTACTTACAAAATTATACTCTTCTACATTGAAACTAGAACTAGCATTTAAAATATATATCTAAATTCTATAATAATAAGTATAATTCATTGTAGTTAAAATTATTATTAAAATACTTACTTACGTTTATTAAACTATCAAACTAAAAGCAGTTATTATTAAAACCGTAATACCATCCATGTGATTAAATATAAATAAGTCCTAATTTAAGTCTAAGTATAAATAATTAAGAACATATTAAATGAATTGATTTCTAGCTAAACTTACTAAGTAATAAAATAAATTGCATATTTACGTATTAGATAAATTTCAAAAATATTTACTATTTATATTAAAAAGAAATATTTATGAGTTGCTATTTTATTTGGAAGTCTTTAGTTTTGTGTAACATTTTCTTAAGTCTCTGTTTTATAAAAGAGCGTGACCTTCGTTTAATTTTAACGTAGGCTACAGCCTAACATCTTGTTCAGTCTATATTGACTTAGTTAGTACAAGTCTTGTGAAAAAAAAATAATTAATGAAAGAACTTATTTTCATTTAAAAATAACTCACATCAAAGCGATTTACAGGGTGTTTTCACTTATTCGATGTACATGCAAAATATAAATAACAAAAAAAAATCGCATGGTAGGTGAAGTGTGATTAGTATCAATATTTTCTAGAATATTGGCTATAATTAAACTATATATAAATATTAACTTAATATAAAGAAATACTATTTTATAGTATATTAAATATTTTTGAATTTGATAATTAAAACGTCGTTATACTGTAGTGGGTTTGAAAACTATGATGGCTTAATATAATTTTTTTCGGAATATGTTAAATAATATTTCCGGAAACGCACATTCTGCTAAAAACATCCATATTTTTTTTCTTTCCATTGTTGTGCATAAATACTTTATTGACTTCTAAATACATGTTGTGAAAGAATTTTGCTTTTATCAGATATTGCTTTTCTATAAGCCTCCTATGACGCAAACTAACGAATCTCTTTTTCAATAAAAACACATAAATTCTTCAGTGCATAGAAGCACTGATGAATAAATTTGTGCATTTTTATTGAAAATAATGCTAGGATAGCTTGCCTATAAGGATAATTATGAGAAAACAGTCTATGATAGAATGAAAACTCTCTAGCAGGATGCATTTGAAATATAATTAGATATTAACACATAAAATGAGAAAAAAAAGTCACAAAAATAAAATACATTTTCTGTAAAATTAATTAAAAGTCTTTTAAGTACCATAATGTACTTAGTTTCAAAATAAAGGAAGGCTATTTAATAAACTAAACATTAGTAAACAAGCAAAGCAGTTTGATTGAGCCACTTTAAATTGTCTTAGGACTGTGTACCTTTTTGGGGTCCATTGTGTAGATAACGATGAAGGTTCAACACATCTGTTTTGTTACTGCCTAGCGCATACGTGGTACCGACTGTATTAGGGTGTCCTTATTGAGGATATTGGATAGCTCTAAAACGTCCCTCTAAAGCGC